AAGCCAAGGAGAGGGGCGGGAGGCTTTGAGGTCTCCCTGCCCAGGGACCAGGGTATGTTCATCCCCACCCTGGTCTGCACCCCTGCCTTTCTGAACACCTGCTGGTTGCCTGGCATCCAAGGGCCCAAAGCAGAACTTTTCAGGAACTCACTTTGAGGATTTCATGTCTCAAAGACATAGAGCCCCAAATGTCGAAACTGCTGATATTTAGTACAAAATATTGTGTGCATTAATCCATGTTGGCCCTCACTTCAGCGCAGACCCTCCCCTCAGGGTTGATGTGAGGCTCTGAGTGGACCCTGGGGACGAGGGCCTCAAGCAGGCAGGAGGCCCAGTAACAGGGTCAGGATGTGTTTTGCACGCTGCATTGTCATGAACACAGCTAGAGTTTGTAAAGGAGCCCTGGGGGCATCATGGTTAGGAGTTGGACTGCTGTCCACAAGGTCAGCAGGTCAAAACCACCAGCTGCACCATGGCAGGAAGCCAGGGCTTTTTACTCCTGAAAAAAATTAGGGCAGTTCCACTCCTGTTCTACGGGGATGCAACGCGTCAGCATCAACTCATTGGCAGGGAGGTTGGGTTGATTTGGTTCATAGTTTGTAAAGTGACTTGGTGGTGCAACCGTTAAGCACTCAGCTGCTGACCAAAACGTCGGCAGTTCAAGGTCCACCCATAGCTCCCCCAGAGGAAGACCTGGTGATGTGCTCATCCCATGATGAAACACCCCGTGGGATGCTAAGACCTGGGGTCTCTGAGGGTCACTTTGTAACCACTGCTTCCTTTGGTCCAGACCAGTGATCCTGGGCAGCCCAGGTCCAGCCAGAGGGAGGAGGATAGCTAGGATGTGCACTATTTCCTGAGAGTTCACCTGGGCCGAGGCAGCGTCCTGACCTCTCCTGATCTAGGGGGAGGGTAGAAGGAGAAGAAGGCACCCGAGGGAGACTCACCTAGAAGAAAGGGAATGAACAGCAGGAGACAAGAAAGTTCCAGATAGAAGAAAGGCTTTGAACAGAGGTTGTGAGGGAGCCAAGAGCCTGGGCATCTGGGGGTGAGGTTTGTGTTGGGGTAAAGGGTAGTGGGATCTGGTGGGAAAGCAAGGGGCCCACATGGAGCCTGCGCTGTTCCCAAGGTGGTGGCTGCAGGCAAGATTTCTGATGTAATCTACTTGTGCTGGGCAGAGTCCTGGAGGCTGGTGGGGAGCCCTGGGCAAGCAAGGAGGCCACAGGCTGGGTAGGGATGGAGGGCTGACTTCCTACTCGTGGCTCTGCGGACCTGTCCCTTGGGTGGGGTTCTCAACCTGCAGGCTGTGCCACAGCCAGCAACCCCGATCCTTGCAATCCCAGAGTCAGGCAGCCTGGATTCACTCCCTAACTCTGCAGACCACCTGTGTGGGCTTGGGTCAGTCACTTAGCCTCTCTGAACCGTCTCAGAAACCCACACCCAACCCACTGCCACTGGGGCCTCTGCCAATCACTTTTAAAGCTTCCAGCCAGCCCAGGCTGCCCACTGGGGTTTGAGGACAGGATTTCTTCCTTCTGGAAGTGGCAGGAAGCAGCAGAGGCTCTCTGATCGGCTAACCACTTCTTAAGGGCTCCTCCCCGTGTGTCTGTCTCCCACCCCAGGCCAGCAGAGCCCCATCCTTCAGGGCAGCCACATGGACACCACACCCCCTTATCTCTGTGTGAGGTCAATGTCACTGGCTCCACCCCTGTTGAAAATAAAAGACAGCCTCAGGCCTGTCCAGCAGGTGGGGCTCGGTCCTACACATCAAACCCTACCCAGCTCCTGGTTAACTACCCAAGGCAGAGCAGAAGGGAGCTCATTCACGCTAGAGGTTGAGCACAACCTGGTGCCAAGTGCCGAGACTTGCTTTGAATTCTGGGTTCTATCTAGTTCCTACCCTGCCATCAACCCTCGGGCCCGAGCTTAGATAACTACAACTCCCTCACGTGGCCCTTAGTCTCCCCATCTATGAAACGGAATAGCAATCGATTCTACTCCCCCGTCCAAGGGGCTCCCAAGGCCTGGAGGAGCTGCTGGAGCATGCTCACATCTGTTCTCTACAGCGAGCCGTCGCGCATCCGGAAGGGAGGGGGGGAACTGCCAGGAACGTTTACATTCCTTCCACCTGACCCCGGGTCTTCAGGACAGTAGGCGCTGTGGACACGGACTCTCTTGAGAACCAGATGAAAACAGAGCGCCTCCCCCCCTGAGAAGGTACATGCAGGCGCACCCAGGTTTTGCACCTGTTTGAGCGGTTTCCATGGTCCCCGCAGATCCCAGGGACAGAAGGTTGGACTGGGCAGCCAGTCGTTCACTCTGGTGGCTCTTTACCCAGTGGTCCTGTAGGCTGTCAGCAGCAGCAGCGGTGAGGTGGGCACTTGCTATCCTAACCGTGCCTAAGGAAAGGGGCACTCTCTGCCCCCCTTGGAGTGGGCTTCGCCCGGAGCTGGTCCAGGAGCCCATGGGTATCACGCGTACTTTTTGCAGGAGGGCCAGAGTGGCAGTTTTGTGGCAGATGATTGATAGTCTTAGAGCTGCACAGGCAGACCATTTTTTGCTTAGATAGTATGTCCACTAGCAGTAGTTGGGGAGCAGGGCACTGTCTTCTCTGGATGGGCTCCGGGACCTCCTAGATTATTATTTCAGGAAGAAAGACACTTCACTGGCATAAACATTTAATTCAAAAGATCCTGGATGTGAAATACCACGCTAGACCAGAGGTCGAGGCATCAAGACCGTGAGACAGAGCAAAAGAGCTATCCCGAGACCATGAGGTAGAGTGGTGGGCTTCTGGGCCCACAGAGTACCTTTGAAGAGGAGTGCGATGCCCTTGGACATTTATCCAGGCGAGAGGGGCTTTGTAACACTGGCCTGAGCAAGGCAGGAGTCAAGGGCTTGTGTGGCTGAGGGGCTGAGGACCAGAGAGAGATGTGACTGCCGGCATGGCTGAGATGTGTCATTGCCATAGACCAAGGACTGTATCCCTAATGTTTTCTGATCCTGACTTGTGGCTACCTGTTAACTTCCCCAAAAAACTCTCATCATATTTTTGAACCACCATGCTGCAGGAACGCGTTTACACCAGTAAGTGTAAAGAGGGCACCACAGAGTGTGGGAGGTTGGGAAGCTGAGGCAAAAGGGGACTGCTCTGAAGTCAGACTGGGTTCAAGGCCAAGCATCATTACTTGGTAGTTAAGTGGCCTGTTCAAGCTGCTTACTCTCTCCAAAGCTGGTGGTTTCGAATTGCTGACCTTGTGGTTAGCAGCCCAATGCGTAACCACTATGCCACCGGGGCTCCTCCTCGGCAGCTTAGTTTAAATAAAACAGTCCAATGTCCCTTTCATAAGATTAAGGAACATAGTATTTAAAATTTTTTTTTAATAAATCATTTTATTGGGGGCTCTTACAGCTCTTATAACAATTCATACATCAATTGTATTGAGCTCATTTATACATATGTTGCCATCATCATTTCCCAGTTTCTTTCTACTTGAGCCCTTGATACCAGTATTAAGAGCTTAATAAATATATATATTTCTTATCCCTTTCCTCTCCTGCCCCGTAGGAGGAACTCCTGGGAAGAATCTTTCCTGGGAAGCTTGGCCAAGGTATTTGGTGAAGGGAGAATTTGAGCTGCGCTGGGAAGAAGGGTTTAGGTCAGTGGTTCTCAACTTTCCTAATGTTGCGACCCATTAATATAGTTCCTCATGTTGTGGTGACCCTCCAACCATAAAATTATTTTTGTTGCTACTTCATAACTGTCATTTTGCTACTGTTATGAATTGTGTGACCCCTGGGAAAGGGTCATTCGATCCTCAAAGGGGTCTCGACCCACAGGTTGAGAACCACTGGTTTAGTGGAGGTGGTGCAGAAGGGGCACCTAGTGGGGTGGGGGGACAGTGCGAGCAAAGGCACAAAGGCCAATGGCTAGTCCAGGGTGAGTACACTGGCTGGAAGGACCCAGGGGTGACTGCCTGGAGGGAAACCCGGTAGGTGGCCACGGAGACCATGGGCTGTAAGCAGCCAAGGCCTCTCTTTGGAAGCAGACACCACACTGATCAGCAGGGTTGGGGACACCATCCTACAGCCTCTAGGGGCTCTCTACGCACCCAGGAGGATTGCAGGGTACAGGTCAGAGGGCTGAATGGGCAAAGCTCCTTGCCAATGAAATGCATTACCAGGCAGCCCAGAAAACTCAAAAAATGGGCACCCTCAGGGTTGGAGCCCCACAATGAAACAAAAAAAATGCAAATGTGCTTCCATAGTGACCCCAGAGGGCAAGGTAGAACTCCCCCTGTACGTGTCTGAGACTGAATCTTCAAGGGAGTAGGAATCCTTGTCTCTCTCCTACAGAGCAGCTGGTGGTTTTGACTTGCTGACCTGGGGGTTCACAACTCAACATATAAGCTACAAGGCCACCAGCTAACCTGAGTCCTACAATAGGGAGGGGCCACACTGGCCTCCTTTGCAGTGACATGGCTGTTGTCCCTCTGCCACTAGTGACCTGTTTCTTCTTGCCTCTTTGTCCTGCAGCATCACATCCTGTGTCAGCCTCCCCCTGCCCTCCTCTCCCCCTCATTCAGGGAGCCCTCCTCTGAAACACACTAGTATGCTGGAGGCCTTGGAAGGAAGCAGCTAAAAGCCCATTTGAAGCCTGCTTTCTCCCAAATCCAGGGTCAGAGGGAAAGGAGGTTTGCATGTGGGGCTGTAATTAGGGGTAGGGGCACAAGGAAGTCCATCTCCCAGGCCTGACCCTGCCCTTCATCCTTTGGAGAGCCTTGCGGTGCAGCTCCCCTCCCCTCTGGTCCTTCGGGAAGTGGGAAGGGCAGGGAAGGGCAAAATCCTTTCATCTGGAAGTCCTGACCCCACTCCCCAGGCAGATTCTCCGTCTGCAGGAACAATGGGCCAGGAGTTTATTTCCAGCCAGGCTGAACTCCTGAGTGGACACCATAGCTGCTCTGTCTCTGGGGGTGGGTGGGTGGTGTTGAAGCTGAGGTGGCACAGTCGGGCAGCTTGGGGGCCAGCCTTCTCTTCCCAGGTTAACGCCAGGGGGGCAGGTAGTTGAGACGACTGTGGAGAGAAACAGAGGTGAGATGGGGGCCTGTCCTTGAATCTTCTCCCCAGTCTATCTCCCCGCCCTGAAAATACACAGCCCCTCTGTACTTCAAGAGCCTTCAATGGCTCCCTATTTACCCAGTTTGGGCTGAGCCGCTTGGTTTTTGAGGAGCCTCCCCAAATCCACCTCCGGGTTCTTACCTCCTACTGATCCCCAACCATGAACTGCTCCCCTCATTTTTCAACCACCTGCTCTAGCATGCATTACACAGTAATAAAGACCATAAACACCCCCCCCCGAGAATGCCCACAGAGAGAGAAAGACACACTTCCCACCCATAATTATCATGCTTCTAAGTCTTAGTGAGGGTGTGTGAACTGGGGCCTTAGAGAGAGGTAGGGGGCAGGAAGGACATCTGAGCTGGGCTTTGAAGAGTGGACACTGGTTTCCCAGGCACTGAACCAGCACACAGCAGAGACTCGGAGGGCGGTTTGGTTATGCCTGGGGAGTTGTACACTGGAAGGGAGGTGGACCCCCATGCTGACTCTGCTCCAAGCTTCGGAATATCAGGCGGTCCAGCCAGTACATTAGCACCACCCCTTACCAGGAGGCAGCTTCTAAGTCCTTCCTACCATGTGGCTTCTACATGTTGGCTCCTCTGGCACCTTCTCACCTCTCAGGCATCTCCCCCACCTTTGGGGTCTCTTCTGGGACAAACTGGGTGGGCCAGGTGGGGCCTGTATTGCTCTCTCCGACTTCCCAGGTGGGCCGGGCTGCCTTTTAGCCTACATACTTCTCAGAGGGTAGGAGCTAGGGTCCTGATACCGTCCAGGAGGACTTCTTGCACCTTTCTCTGAGGCCCCGCCTCCCCTTAGAATGGGGTCTGGAGATCTGCAGTCTGGAGGCTACCTGTGGGGGGTGCCAGGGTGGGGGGTGTGCTCAGGTGACATAGCCCATAGTGCGGGGCGGAGTCATTCCCTACCTGTAGAGGGAGCCGAAGCGCCGGAATGTATTCCTGAAAGAGAGCGGGGGTCCCAGAGCTTCGCCCTCCGTGCCATCTCAGGGTGCCCCCTCTGCCCCACCTTAATGGAGTTCACCCCCAAAGGGGGACACAGGGTTCCATTAGCCAACAATTAAACATAAGTTCATCTTGAACTTGCAAACTTCTGGTGGTGTATTGGAGCGGACCACTTTCCCCCATGTCTGACATTTTCAAGGGTCACTGGGTGGGGTGGGGGCCACGACGTCCCCGCCCTCCTCCCAGGCCTGGGGTAGACGACGGCAGGGGGCACTCACAAGGAGTCAAAAGGCAGGGGCTTCTGTCCATATCGGTCCAGGCTGGGGTTCTGGTTGAGGTGGAACTGAGGGAGCCAGAGGAGGGGAGGTCCGTGAGCCGGAGGTGGGGGCGCACCTCCGTCGGCGCACCTCCGTCGGCGCTCCAAATAGGGCCCCATGTCGGAGACCAGGGGCTGGGAGACCCTACTCTCTACCTCCTCCCGTTTCGGCTGCTTCCCACCCGGACCAGGGGACCAGGGGACACGCTCAGGGCGAAGCCCTCCCTACCCGCCAGGACTGGGTCACATGCGGCTTCAAGTGACGAACTGCGTAGCCGCTGAAGCTGTCCACTGCGGAGAGAGCAGCCCTCTGGGAGTCCCAAACAAGCCCCTCCGCGAGAACAGTCGCCCCAGAGCAAGCCCCGCCCAAAATATCCAAAAAACCCTTCAAACAAAGCCCCTCCCCAGAACAGGCCCCTCCTAAGCTCACCCAAACAAGCCTCTCCCCAAGAACTAGCCCCGCCTCCAGCCTACCTGCTGGGAAAACCCTGCCCCAGCCTGGCTCCAAACAGGCTGGCCTCCAGGCTCTGCCCTCGGAGTCACAGAACCACCCCCACCCCTGCATCCTCTGGAAGACCTTGAGACCTGATGTTGGCTCTGCCCCGCCATCCTCTTCCCGCCAGTGTCAGTCGCCTTCTCAGTAGTCGCCCCAACTGCTTCCCCCCTCGTTCTGTCCAAGGCCAACCCCACCCCCCGTGGCCCCCGCCTTCTGCGCCCCCGCGGTCGCCCCAGCCTTGCCCTAGGGCATCCTCCATGCCCGTAGACCGACCCGTCTTGTCTAAGCAGGGCAGCTTGAACTCCCCAGCCGAGGAGACAAAGCGGGACCAGTCCTCGATGGCGCGCGTGTAGCAGGGCCAGTCCACCCGGTTGATACCCGGAGCGATGGGCGCCAGCTTCCCCGCACGGTGCCTGGAGCGGAGTTTCTGGCCAGTCGCTGTGAAGTCCTGCCAGGGCGACGGGGTTCAGGGGGACTGAGCTAGATGCAGACGTCTGAAGGCTGTCTGAGATCACCCAGTAGTCCAGAGCTGACACGCGGCCCATCTGAATGAGGGAGGGCTACAGGCGGGCTGGGGATCCCAAGCAGATCTGCGAGAAGCGCAGAGGCCAGGACCCACCGTGCTGGGGACTAGGGAAAGCTGGGGGTTGCATCCTCTCCCTTGAGCAAACCTGGGGCCAGGGGTAAAGGACTCTCACCAAGCATTGCAGGGGCTTGTTGGGGATCCCGAGGAGGGTACAGTGGGCATTGTCAAACTCATCTGTAGAAAGAAGAGAGGGTCTTGGTAACACGCCCACAGGGGAGAGGCTTGGCTCACCCTCTTCTTAAAAGATTTTGAAATATTTGGCAGTCTTTAAAAGTGATGCCATTCAGCTAAACAATACTCAGAAGTCAAACTCATTGCTATCAAATCTATTCCGACTTTTGGAGACCCTGTAGGGCAGAGTAGAACTGCCCCTGTGGGTTTCTGAAGGAGTAGAAAGCCTCATCTTCTTCCCTCGGGGTGCCAGGTGGGTTTGAACTGGTGAACTTGCAACTTGCAATCAGTCCAATCAATAACCCACTACACCACTAGAGTTCCTTGTCAGCTGAACAATAAACTCACGGCCATGGAGTGTATTTTGACTCTTAGAGACCCTATAGGACAGGGTAGAGCTGTGCCTGTGGATTCCCAAGACTGGAATGCTACAGGAGTAGAAAGCCTGGTCTTTCTCCCATGGAGCAGCTGGTGGTTTCCAACTTCTGACCTTGCGAAGTGCAACCCAACTCTTAACCACTGCCCCATAGACAGGTCTCAGAATACCAGAGAGGATGTACTTACTTCTCAGCACTGCCTACCACAGGAGACAACAGGGCAGCATTAACACCAATGAGCCAAACGCATGCAGAGGTAGTTGACACAATTTGTTTGAAAAGAAATACAGGTGACTCCTCATCATTTGAATAGGCATCCCACCTTAATCACACTCATCAGATGAATGTGTGTTTCAACGTCATTGAGATACAAATTTTGGCCTGTCAGACTGGGAATGATTGGGAAACAGGTTTTCTCATACATTGCCAAACACCAACCAGAGTCAATGTCACGGATTCGATGCCGCCTCATGGCCACTCTATGGGACAGGGTAGGACTGCCACTGTGAGTTTCCAAGACGGACTCTTTATGAGAGTAGAAAGCGGAAAGCCCTGCCTTTCTCCTGCTCATCCATTGTGGGGGTGGGGGGTATAAATAGGCTCCACCCCCATGGAGGGCTGTTTGGCATTATCTTAAGAGCCTTGGAGGTGAGCTGCAGTCAGTTTGAGCCCAGTGCCTGCTCCTTAGGAGGAAGAAAATTCTGTCTGCACCCGCAAAGATTGACACCCTAAGACACCTGAAGGGCCTGATCTACTCTGTCCTATAGTGTCGTCTGGAGTCAGAATTGACAGGATCGCAGTGGGTTCTTCTGTTTTGTCTTGTTTAGTGTTTTTTCTTTGGTTACAGCTGCACAAGTGGGGATAGTGGGTGGAGCAGGCTACCCCTCTCAGCACTGTCTCGAGTAGCTCACACTGGCCATGCCACTTGCTGGAGGCTTCCTGGTGGTCAGTGACCCCCTTCTCCTGCTCTTTGTGGCTTGTCTGCCTAGCTCTCTCCCCTCCTCCTGCCACCCGTCCCTTTCACAAAGGCCCAAGAGGGGCTCCAGTGCTGGTGGGACAGCTGAGGTGGCCTGACCTCTGCTGCAGTAGGTGCTGGATTGACAGTGCTCATCCGAGAGGCAGGCCCTGACGTTGTCCATGTCCATGCGGCGCAGGCTGGGCAGGGCCGGGTGGTAGAGCTGATGCTTCACGCTGGCCAGAGAGTGGCGCTGTGGTTCCACAGGGAGCAGGATGGCAGGGGACGCATAAGTGAAGGAGCAGCTGTCGTCCCAGGGCACCAGGTCCACGATTCGGGCCATGGCTGGGGGCAGAACATTAGGAGAAGCTGACCCTGGGCAGGGAAGCTGCCCTGGACCAGTGCCTGCTTGTCTACTTGGTGAGCATTTATTGAGCAACTACTGTATTCCAAAGGAGCCCTGATGATGTAGTGGGTTATGACGTGTTGGGCTGCTAACTGCAAGGTCAGCCGTTCGGAACCACTAGCCGCTCTGCGGGGGAAAGATGAGGCTTTCTATTCCCGAAAAGAGTTACAGTCTTGGAAACCCACAGACGCAGTTCTACCCTGTCCTGTAGGGTCACAATGAAACAACTGACCAGATGGCAGGGATTGTTGTTGTTGTTGTTGTGTATTCCAGACCTTGTTCTTGAAGAATCTCTTGTGTGGTGGCAGGGACACACACACACACACACACACACACACACACGAGCAGTGTGTTAAGGGCTGTGATGGAGGTGGGTACCGGATGTACGTGGGGGCCTGGGGAGGTTGGGGACGTCTCGCTTTTGGCGGGACAGTCCCGATTTTTGGCGTTTTAAAAAAGTCCTGATTTTGGAAAGAATGCACGACAAGCTAGGGAACGGTCTATTTGGTCCATATAGACCAAATTTTAAATCAAGAACCCCCCCCACCTCGGTCGATGGTGTCCCGCTTTAAATCTGGTCACTTAGGATTGGGGCAGTCAGGAGATGGTGTAAAAGAGCACTTGGGACTATTTTTAAACAAGGGGTAGGAAGAGGCAGCAGGGGGGTGACTTCTGAATGTGGGGGTAGCATCCCATAGACCTCGGGGTAACTAATAGGGGCTTTTTGGCCCTCACTAAGGTGTCTGGCCATTAATTCCATGAGGAAGCATGGAAAAGTTTTAAAGAAGGGGAGAGACAGGGGAGAGTTGAAGTAGAAAAGCATCCCTGGTTACCAAGTTCCTCTTTTTAAAAACATATATTCCCAGAAGGCTTTCACTTGTACTTTTGTAAGAATTTGTGCATATACCTCCCTTTCTTCCTAACCCCCTAGTTGGAGCATCTGAGAGGGGGCAGGAGGGAGGGAGAAAGTGCCTGGAGGGGGATGGGATTGCATGGGGAGGAGCAAGGAAGTGGGGTGCCAGGAGGAGGAGGTACGAGAAGGCCCCTGCTTCTGACCAACCGACAGTAGCTACCTCATCTGGGAGGCACAGGCTGTGGAGACCCAGGCTTTGAAGGCTTCTTGCTCTTCAGACTGCTCAATGGGGAAAAGAGGTGGGGGCGAGGTGGGCCATGCCCCAGTGCCTTATGGGATGATGGGAACATAAAGGACCACTCAGCCTGATTGTGAGGGCACTTACCCCTCGGTAACCCTGGTGACCACAGGCTCTGAGGGGAAGAGCCTGCTCAGACAGGGCATCATGGGGGGCACATTTGGGCTGGCTGCTGAGCCCACCTCAGACCGTGTGACCCTGCATAGCTGTTGTCTCTCTCTAGGCTTTGAGGCTCCCATCTGTGTTGGGGAGGGCCCTAGGTCCTGTCATTAGCGTTGCCTACCAAGTGAGCTTCCAGGAAGAGGGCATGGCCCTGCTGATCAGCCCTTGGGCCTCCAGAGTCGGCGATTAGTGGCTGCTCGAATCCAGGGTCACTGTAAGGCTATCAGGGACACTGGTGACCTCAGCAAGGCAGGGATTAGCAGATGATACTCCCCTCCAAGTTCTTGGGGAGCTACAGTCTTCTCACCTCTCAGGAAGATGAGCCTGAGCCCAGCACCCTGGTCACAATCTGCGAGATGCCCCTGTATCCTTAAGGGAAACGCAGGGGCAGTCAAGCTTATTTTGCATGAACCAGCGTGGGCTCTTCATCCACCTGACCTGGATGCGGATGGAGTCTAGGTGCACCACTGTTATGTTTAGGTTGAATTTGATTCAACCAGTTGCTCCTTCCTCGGGGCTCCATGTAGCAGGGCAGCATCCCCAGCACACGGTTAGCTAGCGAGGATAGGGAAAGGGGGCTGTCCCTCCCACGCCTGTACAGGCCCCCTAGAGGAGGTCGGAAGGGAATCAGGTGAGTATTAGCCACCCATGAAGACCCCAGCATTGGGCATGCTCCAATTCAGGCCCCGAGCCAGGTGGGCAGTATACCTGTGAGGCCCAAACCAGACCCAGGTGGGCTTAATTCAGCCAACGGCGTCAACCAATACCTTCAATCATGCCTCCCCTGCCAGAGGTTTAAAATACCCTGGTGGTGGGAGAGCTGTTCTCTTTTTTACCCTGTTCCTGGTCAAGGGCAGGTCAGAGAGGACTCACTCTTCTCTCTTTGACCCTGCTGCAGGGTCCACTTATGCCTTGCTGCCTCTCTCTGGCCTCTGGTCACCACGTGTGAGCATGCAGTCCCACAAGGTTGCCCTCGTCCAGTAGTGAGCCCCAGCACGGCTGCCGCGGTTTGGCACGTTTCCCCGAAATAGCAGGTACTCCTTTGAGACTGTTAAGCCTGAAACTTCTCCCGTCCTTCATAAAAACTCACTGGGATCACAAACCAGGCTCAGCATGAATTCTTTCTCTATGCAAAGCCAAGAACCGAGGTATGACCCGCTCGAGAAACCTCATAACACCGCCGCCCTGAAAATGCTGCTGGAGCCAACGCTGCTCGCCATGCCAATTTATAGTCCACTCAGTTCAAGTTATACAACATAACAATACAGAAAGTGGCTCCATACTGGATTTAATACTTCATAAGGTGAGACGCCCCCCAGGCCCCCCATAACCAGCACACAGGTCAAGGCACAGGAACCTGTCTTAAGAGCCATGAGAACAGCCCTCTGTGTAGAGATTCGCACACAAATGTCCTTGGCAGCAGCCTGGTTTCTCGTGGCCTCCCAGTGCTGCGGACCAGAGGCTGTGCCTGCGGTAGGATTACAACTCCCCGTAAAGAAGGCCCAAACCCTCACAACTCCATCGCCAGGGACCGTCCTGATCCAAGGAGCACAGATGGAAGTGGTTAGGATTTCATCTTGCTTGGATCCACAATCAGTGTTCCTGGAAGCAGCAGCCAAGAGATCAAACGGTCATCGAGGGATGTGAGTAGCCTTGCTGTCAGACAGAGAGCACATGGCCGATGTCGTTAGGTTACAATGTAATACCTTATTTGATCACCCTTTTGACCCATTTTAAAGTTATTTCAGTCTTTAATAATCTCTGCTTTGTTTCCATTGAGGGGTTTAAAAACGTGTTATCTAGACACTGCTGTTGGTTTTGTTTGTTTGCCTACCGACTGTGTGTGTGTGTGTGTGTGTGTGTGTGTTGTATGACTTTCTGTGTATGGAATCCAGGATAGGTAGATCGGTAGAAACAGTACCTGGATTGATAATTGCTTAGGGGCAATGTCAGGGGAGCTAACAAAAATGAGTGAGTAGAAAGCGTTCTGAAATGGATTGTGGTGATGATTGCACAAATCTTAATATGATTGAGTAATTACATTGTATGACATGTGATGTATATCCCAATGAAACCATTTCAGAAAAAAATAATTAATTTTTAAAAGAAGATCCAATGAGACATTGTCTTGGGTCAATCTGCTACACAAGACCTCTTTTGAGTGTTAAAAAGCTAGGAAATTACTTTGAGGACTCAGGGGCTCCTGATCCAAGCCACGGCATTTCCAGTTGTCTCCCATGCACGTGAAAGTTGGACATTGAATAAGGAAGACCGAAGAAGAACCGATGCATTTGAATCGTGAGGGTGGCCAAGGGCATTGAAAGTCCCATGGGCTGCCAAACGAACAAACATCTGTCTTAGAAGAAGTAGAGCCAGAATGCTCCTTAGAGGACTGAGAGACTTCTTCTCACAGAGTTTGGACACCTTATCAGGAGAGGCCAGTCCCTGGGAAAAGTCATCACACTTGGTAGCGTGGACAGATGGCGAAAAGGAAAGACTGTCAACATGATGGATGGACAGACACGGTAGTTGCAGTAATGGGCTCAAACCTCACCAGGTGGGCACGGAGCAAGACCAGGCAGGGTTTCCTTCTGTGGCGTGTAGGGTCGCTATCAGTTGGCACTGCCCTCGCAGTACCGAACCACAAAAGTGGAAGCCACCCTAAGTCCATGAGCAGAAGACCCAAGCTACACTCACTGCCATCGAGTCAGTTCCCGTGCACAGTGACCCTGTCAGACCAGGTGGAAGTGTCCCTGTGGGTTTCTGGGACGGAAACTTTACAGGAGTTGAAAGCCCCCACTTTCTCCCTAGAGCAGTGGGTGGGTCGGGACTGCTGACCTTGCAGTTCACAGCCTGACTTGGAACCACTGCGCCACCAGGGCAAGCTGTGGTCTGTCATACAAGGTCTCTCCTTTGCAATGAAAAGGCTCTAGAAGCGACACTTTGTATGAGGCCCTGTTCCCTGCTGTGTACTGGCAGCTCCTTTCCAGCTTGGTAGGGGGGGTATGGGGTGTGTGTGTGGGTGTGTGCGTGTGCGTGCGCGCGTGCCCCGGTTCCCTGGGCATCAGGCTCCTCTCCCCTCCCCCTCCCTCCTTAGGTCCTAATCCTTACTTAGCACACAGCCTGGCTGCCACCAATTAATCCCCCTGAGAGGTCCAGCAGCAAGTGGCAGGTAAAGGACAATTTCTGGCTGGCAACTGACGTCTGAGCAGGTAACTCAGAATGCGGTAGAGGCTCGGTGGCGCCCCAGATGGGAGGCAGGGTCGGGGCAGGGACCTGGGGCCTCCTCACCCGCTGTGGGGCTCACACTTTCATGTTCCTCAGGATCTTCGTGTGAAATGCAGATTCCCAGGGAAAGCCCTTAAAGAGTCACCGCCTCAGAAACCCACAAGGGGCAGTCCTACCCTGTCCCATCGGGTCACCAGGAGTCGGCATCGACTCATGGCAGTGAGGGACACAGAATTTGGTGGGCCTAGGAATCCGTAGTCTCTCCGGATCCCCCAAAGACTCTGAAAATGCCAGTGGTCTTAGTACCACAACCTGGGATCCTCTCCAGTCTGACCCTCCTCATCTAAGGGGAATCAGCAGGGACCTGGCCGAAAGGTGGGAGAGACTTTGGTCTCTGGTCACTGCAGAAGGTTCAGGCCGGCACGCCCGAGGTACCACCTACTGGAAAGCAGCTGTGGGGGGGTCAGCGCTCAGCCATTGTCAGCACCTCCCAGGGTGGGGGCAGAGTCCCCGGGCTCAGGAGGACCTGGGGACACCTCAGCCTGTCCGCTTGCTGGCTGGGCTACCTTTTTTTTTTTT